ATTATTATTTTTTTATTATTTTTTTTGTGTGGCTCAAGGTGCCATGAGGCCCCATGGCCTCATGGCACCTTGAGCCCCATGGCCCCATGGCCCCATGGCCCTCTATTGACCAGCCGCAACTGGTAATAAATAATACATTTTAGGCCTTAGAGTTTTATTGTGACCTCATTTCAGAATCAAAGCAGTATATGAGAGAACTAAGTAGATATTTTACATGACTATGTGTAATACACATTCTCAGCTAAATGCCTTGATAGACCTTCTATCAAGGCATTTGAAGTTTTTTTTGGACACAGTACTGTGAGCAGAGTCTCAAGCTTATTTTCCTTTTCAAAAAGATATCGAGAAAGTAGTAGAGAAATTACTGGTAACACATTGTGGGAAGGTTTTTAATTGAAAATGTGAAACATAGGCTACTTTGAGAATTCAACTGACTGAGATGAAAGAAAAGTAGAAAAAGTGGACTGGTCAAAAGCCATCACAGTCTCACTCACAACTAAAACCATCGTTTTGTGAATAGTCTACTGTGAAACTTAAAGTTGTGACGGTTAAATTTCTCCCTTACTGACATTATTTACACGTACTGTTCATTCTATATGAGAAGCAATAAAGTAAAGAAACAAAAAGCACCCAATTTTCAGCGTTCAGATTGACACTTTTATTTTGAAGACGACATATCTATTTCCGGTTGTGTCCGCCTTCTCGTTCTGTGCTTGACTCACCTCTGGTCTCGCTTGCTACAATCTTGAGCGGTAGTGACTGATGAGTGCAGTGTTGTGGACTCGCCTGGCTATTTCTTCAACGTACGTTTCCTCACGTTTCCTGAGTGCTTTACGAGACATTTTCTTCCAGAGGTGAAGCCGCACACGTTGGTCCAACATGTCTGTGGCCGGGCTGAAGAAACAGTTCCACAAAGCCAGTCAGGTATGTAGCCGACTGTTATTGCTCGTTCATAACAACACTTGTTTGGATGTGGACCGTGTTCGCGAAAAACGGTGACGGAATCGGGCTTCTGGTGATTAGCAAACATTTAAAGTATCAGACTGTAACTATTTATATGTAAATGTGGCGGGTTGTGGCGCCACAACAGGAACTGATTCCGAGGCATTTTTAGGCTCTCTGTGTCCCGTTACTTTTTCATTCAGATAAGTTGGTTCAGTACCGAGACAACGCCACACCAAACTCCGTTGAAAGATCCGAAGATTGAATGTATTCTCACATGTTAGTGAACGCACAGTCGTTGTTTGAGTTCATTCAAGACTGTTTACGAAACACTGTGATCCCACAGACATGTCGGCATTGTTGTTGACGTGTTATTCAGCTCACAGCACACCACTATAATACAATAAATTATACTTTAATACAATAGAACACGTTAGAAAGTGTTGACGTTGTTTCCGATCCAGGAACATGGTGACATCATAATGTCAAGAAAATATTTAAGAAAAGTGAAAATACTGTTCAAATCTTTGTTTAGGCTATTGAATTATAAAACTTCTAACATGTACTGCTTTCCTTTAGTTTGGTGTGACATATCCCCATTGAATCTGTATGTGAGAGACTACACGTGTTTTACTATAACGGAGGTATTACAGTAGCTATTATGATTCTATTTAGCTCGTGGGAATGGCTAATTATGTTTTGTCCTGATGTCACAGTTTATGTCTTATTGACTATCCACTGGTCTGTTTTGACCAGGACTCGTCTCACGAGAATTAAAGATGTCCTCTGTAGATTAGCGCCATGTTTCAAAGATGTCCTCTGTAGATTAGCGATATGTTTCAAAGATGTCTTCTGTAGATTAGCGACATGTTTCAAAGATGTCCTCTGTACATTAGCAATATGTTTCAAAGATATCCTCTGTAGATTAGTGATATGTTTCAAAGATGTCTTCTGTAGATTAGCAATATGTTTCAAAGATGTCTTCTGTAGATTAGCGCCATGTTTCAAAGATGTCCTCTGTAGATTAGCGATATGTTTCAAAGATGTCTTCTGTAGATTAGCAATATGTTTCAAAGATGTCTTCTGTAGATTAGCGACATGTTTCAAAGATGTCTTCTGTAAATTAGCAATATGTTTCAAAGATGTCYTCTGTAGATTAGCGACATGTTTCAAAGATGTCTTCTGTAGATTAGCAATATCTTTCAAAGCCTGCCAAAGGCTGTGACGTAACTTAAAGACAGGTAGAATGACACAGAGACACCGGGCCTTCTTATAATAACAGCTTCACAGACAGTTTGTAGATATTGTGTAATCACGGGATGCATCCACTGTTCTGAGATGCACTTCACTCATGAAGTTCCAGCACGGTCAGTCCTGTTGTTCCACCAAAATACACCACGTTGGGCATCTGTGAGTAACCGTGAACCAGTTCTAACATTCAGATAAAATACCATGGGAAACAAATACTGCCTGATCGTCTACATGAGCAGTGGAAATGTTTCCACTTGTTTTAATGTGTAAACCCTTTGAGAACCTCCGCCATCAGCAGATCTCCAGGTGAAAAGGGGTTGAATTACACTGAGTTTGAGGTTTGATGAGGTTTTGGTTCCAGTTGCCTCAGATTAGAAGGGTCTTGCGTGACATTGAGATCCCAGACCAAATACCACCAGTTACCTAACTGGACAGAGAGTGCGGACATTGGTGATGACCTTAGCCCAGCATCCGGGTGAATCATAGATCAGGCCACACATGAGAGATGTGTTGTAGAACTCCCACTCCTCACAGCACAGCAGAAAGGACATCTCATGTTGGGCATCTGGGTTGATGAAAGGGATTGAATTAAACTGAGTTTTTTAGGTTTGACCTCACTGGCCCACTGTCCATTTGTTAGGTGACCCCTCATAATACATGCAGTGTGCTGACGCATTGGGCCATTGGGCATGGAGGGCCTCTGCTACCCGACCAGAACGTATGTGGACTCAGGTCCAGTTGGGAGTTTGTTGTGTAGAGCCTCAAGCGTGGGCTGGTTTTCGGTTTTGTTATTATGACATAAAAAATATTCCCCATCTCTATTTGATTGTGCCGAGATACATCTACGTTTGACATGTGACCAAAGTAGACACTGGGAATAGAAGGAGAGCCTGCAGTCAAAATGCTAAGAATCAGCAGCACTGATGAAAAAGCACAGACAGAGCTTTGCTTTGAGCTGGTGGTGAGTCTCAAACGTAGGTCAGTTTCAGCCAAGACTGGTCTTACAGTGACTATGATCAATATGGTTATATATTATTATATATATTATTATTTCTCATTGTAATGTTTTTACTGATTGCGACTTCACTGTTTGTTTTATTGCTGGTTGTTACTGGATTGATGAGTCTAATACTATATTGATATTTAGGTGTTTAGGCAATTTGATAAGGATACTTCCGTTGATCGTCATTTTTTAAAACATAAACAATCTTGATCCCTTTTTTCTGTGACTCTACGGAGTGGGGCATGTTACAGTTGATCCCAATGTGTTTGACCAAAACCTACATATTAATATTGTGAAGATATTTTAGGGTTAGCTATTGACGCTTTCACCAAATATTTTCAGTGAGGTTTTTGATAAGTAATCATCAGTAATGTGGATATAATGACTAAGTGGGTAATGACAAATAATAGAACAGCTATAACAGGATATCAATATAATATCAATATATTGCCCAGAACTACCCTAGAGTCTCTGGCTTGTACTGTGTAACAAAGTAACTCTTCAAACATTGTTGCGTTACCTCTGAGTAGCTCTGGCCAGCGTTACACAGCTGAGACCTGCTTCACTGAGATGTGAAAGTGTGCACTCTCAACAATGCTGCTCACTCACACAGTGCTCTGCAGGCCTGCCTGTCTTTAGTTCATACATGACACGACAACTAGTCACCTCAAGATGTGTGTAGACAAGACATCAAGATAGGTCTTGTGGTATATACAACCTCAACCATAAAAATACAATTTGAATGCCATAATTCTATTTGAATGGTAACACTACTGATGGAATATCTTCATCATTTCGGCAAACGGGTCAATTTTTGTTTCTGTTTGAAAAAAGGAGCTCAACTACAAGCGTTTGCATGATTTTACCTGATTCTCTTTGTGTAGAGACACAGTCAGTTTGTGATTATTCTTGATACAACTTTATATCGTTTGACTCTATAAACCACAAATACGGGCCTAAACTTTTAATCTCTAGAATCGTGGAATTCCCACGTCATATTCAGTGTAATGTACATTGCTACAGCATAATTCCATCAGTACAACAACAGAGTGATACTAAGCACTCTGCTGCTCCGAGTGACTCTTATTAAGAGGAACACTGATGGCATTCACATTGATTCTTCTTCACTTTTCATGTGATTGCTGTAAAACGACCATCGGTGAAAGTCACCACTTCCTGGGGACGTTTAAAAATAAATGACTTCCAGGAAGTGAAGGATAATGCACTTTGATCCTCTGGAAATCTGTTCATGTGAAACGTCTGTGCAGGAAGCGTTGACTTTTATTGTATATCCAACAGTGTGATATGACTGCTGTTGTACTCTGGTGACAGGGGGGCTCCTACTAAAATATAGAACTGGGGGACATCAGACACAAAGGCATGTCTCAATGCAAGTCTGCTGCCTGGTGTATCTGTGTGTTGCTTAAGGCAAATAACGGTTCTAATACATAATCAAGACAATTTAAGGATTGCAACTTCATTTTTATTGTAATATTGGTTCGATTTTTTCCTGAAATTCCTCAAAATCCGACCTTATCCTTTGTGGACATTCCTTCCAGTTGCCTCAGATTAGAAGCGTCTTGCGTGACATTGAGATCCCAGACCAAATACCACCAGTTACCTAACTGGACAGAGAGTGCGGACATTGGTGATGACCTTAGCCCAGCATCCGGGTGAATCATAGATCAGGCCACACATGAGAGATGTGTTGTAGAACTCCCATGTTCCCTCACAGCACAGCAGAGAGGATATCTCATGTTGTTATCTCGTGGAGTTCTTCCAGTGTGCACCAGCTAAATGTCAACCTGCCACCTCCTGTTTGTGTGTCGGTCTGTGCTGCTCATGGTTGTTGTGGTTGTGTGTCCTCCACACTTTGATCAGGGTAAGTGAGCATTGAACTAGAGCTGCAGTTTCTCTTTCACAACCTGTGTCATGAGGTGATACGGATATCAGCTCTCTAACGGTGGGAAGTTATCCCTCTCATTCTCTTAAGTCATTGCGTGCGAGGAAAAAAAAGGAAATGAAATACAGGCCTTTTGTAGGCAAGGTGTTGATTTCATGTGTGATTGTGTGCAGTGTTTTCTACCTGTTTGTTCTAGCCGTTGTTTTCTGAGACATGCAGTGATGAGCAGCCAAAAACTGAGAGCTTTTCTAACATTCATGTCACCCACAGTGGTTTCCTGCTTCTGCAAAACACTGTCTGACAATAAGGACCAGACTGTATCAATCCGACCTATGACCCCTGCAAAAAAAGCAAACAAAAGATCAGTTTTTAGAACTAGGTGTATGTCATGATGTACATCAAAAATATTGTTTGGTATTTCACCTGTTTCCTGAGGTGGAAATATATTGAGACCGGGGCTGATGCCAGCAATAGATAACTGGGAAGAGAAACACTTCCTGTTTATTTCAACCATATCTGATTCTTTTCCCACTATTATTAAAAAGGGTTCAATGGGAATGTAGTGGGATATAATTGCTGTCCCTTTTAGATAAACCAACATGAATTTTACAAATGTACATCTTTCATCTCCCTCTAAGTCAATACTGATTCACTGAATTGTACAATTGTTTTCCATGAGTTGGAACTTTCAGTTAGGGCTACAGTTTACAATTATTATTGTGTTCATTATTAAACATTACTATTTTTATTATATATTAAGCAGTTGGATATTTTTGGGGGATTCACCAGTCAATCTGTTAAGCTAGTTTTGGAATGTCAGAAAAT